CTGGGCTCCTCAGTGAAGGGTAAGGATGTTCCTGTGCAAAACTACAGTTATTGGACTCCTAACTGTATCTTTCTTTTTTGCCAAGTGTAAGACCATTATATGTACCAATTCAAAAAGATGCATGGTATTCCTTAAATAGAAAACCTACACCCTTTGATGATTAAATTGATTAAACATCTTTTAACCTTTAATCCAGCTCCTGATCCTAAAAATGCACAGAAATTTGGCACTAAATTGTTTCACAAATCAATGAAATTACTTATAAAGTGAAGAAATAAAATCTGATTATCAAATTATCTTGCTATATGTTACCAGCTTAGAATACTTTATGTATGATGATGAATGAGGTGAATACAATTCTTCAGGAGTGCCAAGCCTTCATTCATTTATATCATTATGTTTCCTGGTTGACAAACTGTAATTTTAGGTGCAGTTTTATGTTTAGCTTTTTCTCACCTTAAAGACCAGCACAAGCCATCTTAAACAGTGCCTGACTGTGGCTGTCACTAGACTAAAGTTTTAGTTCTAGATGGCGTACCCGCTAGACAGTGCCAACAGAAATTTTTTTGCCATTACTGCATCCACAGCTTACAAGATCAGAAGTATTATTAGAGGTTAGTGATGAAATATATTTGATTTACTGTTCATCAAAAAGCCAGAACTCTTCTATTACAGGAGGATCTTTGTTAGTGTGCTTCTCTGGTGTATAAAGATGTAGATGAACATAATGCCAAGGCTCAAGGACAACCTTAGAGCTGGAATTGTTTCTGCAAAGGTTATAAAGCTACTTCCAAACTCTTTGAAATATATGGTCCAGCATATTAACAAACAAAAAAGATTTTAAGGTTCACAGCTATCTCCTCAAGGTCAAGCTTTACATTAATCAGAAAAACAGAACAAAAATCTAGAAATTAATCTCAGACTTTAGAGGAATCAGTAGTTGTTTCAGACGTTAAATGTCTAGGTTTATAAAAAGAACCTTGGATAAATATGTTCAGTGCTCGAAAGGATCGCCATAGGCAATATGCTTCCCTAAAAAGAGAAGTGGTAGAAAAGCCTAAAAAGACTTTGCTTTGAACACTGGGGACAAAAGAAAAGATGCCTGACTATATCTCACAGGAACGCCTCTCACCAACTGGCAAGCAAGGAGGTGAAAGGATTATGCTTAGGGCTTTGTTTATGGATATATCTTGCAGTCAACACCATGATAACGGGCTCTCGTGTATACCTAATCATTCTGTAGCAACAAATTAAGGAATCAAGTTCCTGCTATCGCTGAGTTAAAGTCCCGACCTCTGGATGAAACAGCTAATTGTGCAGAAAAAATTGTCTCTGAACCTCAACGAAGTGAAGTAGCTCCTTAAACTCTATGTATAAGAACCAAAACTCCTCCAGACAATTTTCGTGGCATGTGATGTAGCAACACAGAATGAATTACTGAGATCCTTATCCTACATAAGTTGGTTCCACTAAACTTTAATCATGATGTTTTCAAAACAAAAACAAGGTTTTGATGGGCTATTGTATAAAACCTACACCGCAACGCTATTCCTGATATTTTAAATTGAAAAAACTTCCTGGATGGAAAGCAAAAAGTATTCAAACTTGGAAACAATTTCCAGTGGATTGTATTTAACTTTTTTTATTTTATTTTAATCATGAGTTAGACGTTTTTTCCACGACTGGATTTGTTCTATTTGGTTTCAACTTATAGATCCGACCATGGCTGGTGACTCCATCATATAGGAAAAATATAAACTGCAGTTTGAAAAAGGAAAATATTAGATACATGTAGACATAAAATATCTTTTAGTTGTAGCTGTTGAACTGCCTTGAACACAATGACAAACAGAAAGCTGTTTTTAGAACAAAAATCTCTGAAATCAAATGAGAAGCCACGGAGCACTCTCCTAAGATACAGGAGTCCTCTATGCAGGTATTCCAAGTCATCTGTGAAACTCTGTAGTTTGTGTCACTTTATGGATGATCTCTTCCATCCTGCCCACACTCAAAAGTTTCTTATGAAGTAACTTATTGCTGCGAGGGATTGATCAGTCTCGGTCCTTTGCTGTGGTGTCCGACTGCCACTGCACAGCAAATCAGGGGTTAAGACGGGTTTGAGTTAGAATAAACAAGCAGCTTCGAAATTCATCAGAGCTGGATCCAGCCTCTGATTCTGCACTTGTGTTTTCTTATGGTGAAATCTGATTCTACTTCAGGTGTCTTTGATTGCTCCTGTTACTTTTTAAAGACGTACTAAACATCAGTTGAGTAAATGCTCAGCGGTCTCTGCGTTTGCGCTTTATTTTTATATCCGTTTGCATGTTCGCATCTCTCTCTCTTTCTCTTGATGTTTGCTGTTCATGTCTCTCTTTCTGTGTATCATATACCTTATATATCTGTGTGTGCGTGTCATGTGTCCGTCTATAGGTGGGGAATCTGGGTCTGCTCTTCATGTTGCTGTTCTTCATCTATGCAGCTCTGGGAGTTGAGCTCTTTGGAAAACTGGGTTAGTGTGTGCGTGTGTGTTTGTGTATGTGTGTGCATAGAACCAGTGTTGAATCGCTAATGAGTGTGTGCTTCAGCTGACACTGGTGTGATTTCTGTGGATTGCATAACAAGAACAAATTTCTGTTGACTTGCAAACGTTAATTATGACAATCAGAGCTCCAGTCTACAAACAACTAATTTTCTTCTTCCTTCCTTTCTCTGCTTTCCAACGTTTATCGCCTCCAATGCTTTTTTTTTCATCCTCTTATAGAGTGTTCAGACGAGAACCCTTGTGAGGGTCTTAGTCGGCACGCCACCTTCGACAACTTTGGCATGGCTTTCCTCACGCTCTTCCGGGTGTCCACCGGAGACAACTGGAATGGGATTATGAAGGTTAGATCTGTTTTTACCTCTCTAAAGACTTAGGATAAAATGTAGAGTGCATATTTGTGATCGTGTGCATTCTGGAAGTGAGGCAGAGAGTGCATTAAGCAGAGAGCACATCACTGTTTTTATGACAGAATAGGAGCTGCTTACATTAGAGCCTGGATGACTTCTGTGACAGACTCACACACAGGAGATCACATTCAGTTAAACATCTCCCCCTGTTGGATCCAGCTAGAAGCACATTACTATCCTTCAACACGCCTCTCTTTATCCATTTATCTTTTATACAGATGCCTCTCAAGTGAAATAGGATGCCTTAAATAATTGATTTATATCTGCAATGTAATACTTCTCTCTGCTGACAAGGTTTTAGGAGATGCCAATTTGATTTTTTTTAGCAACTTTAGGTACAGTCACACCTTGACAAGTGCAATAACCGGCTTTAATAACATGGTATTACTGTGCTTGATTGGCTTAAAGAACCACCTGATTTAATAGAGAATCTATGGAGTATTGTCATGAAGAAGACAAGAGTCATCTGAGCCAACTATGCAGACAAGCTGATCATCATAGTAACCTTGGCTTCATTAACACCACAGTCTTATCCCCTCCATGCCATTCTGCACTGGTGAAGTAATTATTGCAAAAGAAACCCTGAACAAGTACTGAGTATATGTTCTGTATAGGTTTTCGGTAGGATGGTATTCATGTATCAAAAGTCTTTAATTTGATCTTATCTAATATTCCAATGTTAGGATGTTATTTTGTTTTATTCATTAGCTGTAAGTCATAATCATCACTTAAAAGAAATAAATTCTGAACTATGTCATTGTGTTTATTGAAACTATGGTTCCCATTTTGAATATATAACTTCACTTTTTGAAATGAACAACCATTTACTTCATTATCTTCTCTTTTCTCTGTCTTTTTTCAGGACACGCTGAGAGATTGCCGCCCGAATGACCGTCACTGCCTCAGCTACCTGCCCTTGATCTCCCCTGTCTACTTTGTCACTTTCGTCCTCACGGCACAGTTCGTGCTGGTCAACGTGGTCGTCGCCGTTCTGATGAAGCACCTGGAGGAAAGCAACAAGGAGGCGCAGCTGGAGGAGATGGAGGAGAGGAAGGAGATGGAGGAGAAGAAGGAGATGGAAGAGAGAAGGGAGAGGGAGAGGGAGGAGGCGACCCGCCGTCTCAGCTGCATGTCGGTAGGTGGAGACCTAGAGATGAACGTGGAGCCACCTGTTCAGGTAACCCCCGCATTCCTTGAAAGTAGTTGGTGAAGGGAGAAGGGGTGACAGTAACAGTAACAGAGGATTGGATCTGATTGGGCAGGTGCAACTGGAAAACGAGGACTGTTCCCATGGAAACCTGCGGAGGATGGGACGCATGCTGTCTCTCCCCAGCGACAACTATGTCCCACCTCTCAGATACTCCTCTTACGCCCCCATTGGCCTCGAGGCCGTTTGTGGCTACAGCTACTCAGGTAATTTGACGTTTTTACATCAGCTTGAATTGAACAGCTTTCAGAGGCCTGAAGCCACTAATTGGACTTCTGTAAAAATCATTGCTTCAATAAAGAGCTGACAGCTGAGATGTGATGCTGTGCAACTAGAGGTACTGTTATTAAAGCCCCGAAGAGGTTTTTAAGATTAATGACAAATAAGTTGAAGTAGGTTTGAAGTACATTATTCTTCTTTGTTCCATCTAAATTGATATTTTATTACTTATTCCAGAAGTAATATTCTTTGAGTGGTTCTTTCGAAGTTTCTGTCTGTTGATCACCATACAGAAAGCAGTACAAAATACTGTTCTGGACAGAAATGTACTAAAAAGGAAAAATGAAAAATATTTCCAGGTGTACAACATTTATGAACAAATAAGCTACCGGTATGCTTGTAGTAAAACTGCACCAAATGTAAAACATAGTACTAAACTGACTCTGAGATTCAAAAATTTAAAACACACGTCAGGTGCTTTTAGCCGTATCAGTGCTAAAAAGAAATGTGTTTTGTGCCATAGTAGAGATTAATCATAGAGCGAATTTACCAGCGATTAACACGCATACAAAAAAACTATGATTTAGAAAATATTTTAAAAATCCTAAATATATAATCCCATTAAATGACAGTTATTAGCTGTGATCAGTCCCGTAGAATGACTTTACATTGTGTCTCCTCAGCTGGTTGTTAGCACCGAATGAATCCCAATCCTAAAATCTTAATCCAAATGGTTATTCCCTTTTAGCTTGCAGAATTAATGAATATATTTAGCTGTAATATGAATTAAGTAGTTCTTCATCTATATATATATATATATATATATATAAAATATCCACCTGTTGCTCACATTAAACAAACCAAAAACAAAAATAGTTTTCTATGGGATTGATAACTGCTAATAAGACCTATTTATTGGTTGATCACATCTGAAAAATAGGTCCTTGGGTGTGTTGAGGAGGTCTTACGCTAAATTATAATCCCTCTATATGAATATTTTTCAAGTAAAATAATCACTGGAATTGTTAGCAGTGTTTTTTGAATTATTTCTTTTATGCACTTTTGAAGTCATTTTGGTAGGATGTGCACTGCTGGAAGGTTTCCCACTGGTCTATGCTTTCTTGATTTTTGATTAATAGCTCTTACTGTGGTTGTTTGGAGTCTCAAAGACTTTGAAATCTGTAAGCATTTCCACTCCATTAGATATCAATTACATTGACTTTGTTTCTCATTTGTTCTTAACTGTATTTATATCCAGAGAAGATTTGTTGCTTTTTGGGCCTAGCTGATGTTCTGTGTAGATTATGTCATTATTCTACATGCCTTTTAGTAATAAGGGCCTAAAAGTATGGAATACTACACAATCCTAACTTTATTTATGAACTTCTTTAAAACACTCAACACCTGACACAAAGTGCTGCATATAATTTGTAATTTAAAAGTATTAGGAATTTTAAAAGGAGGCAGTGAATCCCTGGGAGTGGACTGCACAGTCAGCTCAAACCTCTTAACCGCTCCATGTCTTTCTCTACTCTATATTCTGTCTTGCATGTGTACTGACAATGTGTAGATTAGAGAAAGGCAACAATAAATTCAAAGCTGTGCACCACATTTTTTCTGTAATAATTCTAATCATTTGTAAAAATCATTCCAATCCATGAAAGCCATAATCACTAATCAATATTAATTTCATGCTCATAATGTATTTAGTCTTATGATTGCTGCCATATCTTTTAAAGACCAGTTAGTGCCTTCATCGAAAGCTTGAGGTTTCATACAAAAATCATTGTGCTCTTTGCTGCTGCCAAAGACCTTCAAGGACATTTTAGCAGGGTGGTTTGTATCTGTAGATATAAAACATGGGGGATGACTGAGTGTAAAAATGTGAGCACAGAACTACTGGGAATGTTCAACCTTGACTACTCCAGAGGCACAGAGTCCACTTTGCATTTGATGTTCCCAGATATGATTAGTAGGCTCGGTGGCCCACAAGGTTAAGTGTGCTATCAATAAGAGGATCTTTGGTCCATTTCCAACTTGGTTCCTGATTTGAAACTGCTGATCCCATTGAAATAAGAGCTAAACGTGGGTGTTCAATTAATGTCTCCAAACAAAGTAGCTGTTAGGGGGAAAGGAATTACTTTTAGTACATAATTTCTGAAGTTGAGTTTAACTGTTTTGGCTTTGTAGAGCATCTGGGGCTCTGAGAACAATTCAAATCTCTCCAAACTACCGACACTTCTGTAAATCTCACAATTTTCCTTCACATGCTATTTTGTGTTTTAGTCTCTTACTAATTATCTTAGTATTTATGTAATTGTATTTTTGCAAAATATGAAAAAATTAAATGGGGTGAATCAAACTGTGAGGGACTGTAATATAAAAATTAACCCAAGGAAGTATTAACATTGTCCTGTATGTTAAAGTTTTCAGGTAAAAAAACAGATTTTACTACAGCTTGTGTCTTTGCATACCTCTCTTTTTATGTCTGATTATTGTATGGTTTTGTACAGGCTCCATGTCTTCTCTGGGTTCCAGTGGAGGCAGCTCTCTGCTGCAGGTTCCAGGAGCTCTTCCTGCAATCAGCCATGCCTCTCTAGGATCCGGACGTAGCTCCAAGCCCATAATCTGGCTCAGCACCTCTCAGACCACTGACAAGCAATCACTACACAGACTCAGTCCAGCTGACAGCATGGAGGGATACAGGCTCAGTTCAGCTTACCGGACAAACAGGCACAGACTGAGCTCAGCTCACAGTATAGATGGCTACAGATTCAGCCCTACCCATAGAATAAAAAGACACAGACTCAGCTCCACTCGCAGTATGGATGGATATAGGCTGAACCCAGATCCCAACACAGACCGGCCAAAGCTCCTGTCCAGCCACAGTATAGACAGATATCCATCTGTCAGGCTGAGTCCTACAGATGCTGAGAGAAGACGTTCATGCTGGCTCAGTCCTGAGGAGAGTTTGGACAGAAACAAGCTCAGTCCCACCTACGTTCCAGAGAGTTCGGTCCTAAAGCGACCAGCATCCTTCCGCTCTGCAGGCAGACAGCTAAGAAGACAGGTGCGTCATTTTATGCTGTTATCTATTATTAAACCCATATTTTATTTGTTCACCGATGCGCAGAGACTTTTAAATTTCATTTGCATTTAAATTACACTGACAATATTATAAGCTTACTTCAGTTAAAGCCTCTGTTAAAGCAGGTTGTGCTGTATGTTTGAACTGATTATGAGTTTCTGAGTCTTGTTACAAATGTTAGTAGGAAAAGAAAATAAATCCTCTAAAAACAACCTCAGCTTTAAGCTTTGATTAAAATAAAATGCTCTTAGTAACAGCCCTGTCCAGTTTCTGAAGAGATTGCAGTCAGACTGCAGAAACTGCCTGTCTCTCGTCCCCTGCTTCAAGTTTGGCCTTAATCTACCAGAGAATAGCAGATATGAGAGAAGTGGAAAAAATCTTCCCCTTCTCAAACACACTAGGTTTGAAGGAATCATTTACCTTAACAGCTTGTCAAGACAACACTGAAAAGCTTGTTAACAATTCATACATTTAAAAATTCAGTACTGAAGCAGAAAAACAGCTTGAGCATGCAGGGTGGTGCACCCTAAGGACAGAAGGTTGAAAACACTAGTTTCCAAATTACCTTAAATACATTATGCATTCATGTAGTCAGGTATGGGGAGAAAATCAATGCAATATATGTGGGCATACAGTATGTCCCTATAAAGATTTATGGCAAAGCTGGTGTTTTTGTAATTCTGTTGGATTATTGAGGCAAGTTTATTTTAATTTAAAGGTTTAATTTATAGGTATCCATTTCCATCTGATATGGACAACGTGGTATTATGAGTATGATAATTGGCAAGCCCCAATGTCTGTTGGTTCCCATCCTGGGCTTTTTACAGTCGGAATAACATGTAGTCCATATCTGATGCACAAAGTAGTACTGGATGGATGGATGGATGGATGGATGGATGGATGGATGGATGGATGGATGGATGGATGGATGGATGGATGGATGGATGGATGGATGGAT